GCTCAGGAGGGGGAACCGTTTTGTTCTGGGGCGGCAGCGGGGGCAAAAATTGCCTCAAAGGTGACGGCGAGAGTGACGTAGAGCAACCTGGAACAACCCAGCGCTGACATCGAGGGCATTAACCACTTCCCCGCCGCAGTGCTCATCGTCCTGTCCACCCGTCGGGGTCTCGCTGCTCCCATCCGCTGGGGCGCATCGCTCTCGCACAAGGCGGGGAGTGTGCGCACGGGAGCGTGCGATGTTTGTGCCCTTCCACGTTGCCGCCTTCGCACCGCTGATGGGCTCTTCCCTTCTGGATCGGCTCTTGCCCATCTTGCCTCCGCGGGGTTGCCTCGTCTTTAAAAACCTGACCGGCATGTCTAACCCTCGGACAACCATCCAGCCCTTGCACAACTACCTAGTTCTTGCACGGTGGATCATCGCTACCCGCGGCCCTCGTGCGCCTACTCGTTGCACGCCTGGCCCGTGCATCTCTGCTCCGTGCACAGCGGATCCAACCCTTGAGCTCTGCCACAGCTGCCCAGCCCTTGCATGGATGCTTAGCCATAGCCTATCCAGCCCTTGCACACCCAGCCCTTGCACACCCGGCCCTTGCACACCACTCTGGCCTTTGCACACTCACCCCTACCCCAGTGGTCCAGCCCTGGCACATGCAGCCCTTGCACAAGAGTCAGGCTCTTGCCTGCCTGCCTAGTGTTGGCACATCCAGCTCTTGCACACTCAAGCCTCGTGCAACTGTCTGGAGCTAGCACAGCTGTCCAGCCCTTGCACAGCTGGTGCTTGCACATCCAGCTCTTGCACGACTGCCTGACTCTTGCACAGATGCCCAGCCCTGGCACATTCAGCCCTTGCACACCCAACCCTCGCATGCCCAGGGCTGGCACTGCCACACCTTGCACACCTGGGCCTTCCACAACTGCCCGATCCTTGCGCAGCCGCCCATCCCTGGCACGTCCAACCCTTGCACACCCAGTCTTTGCATGACTGCCCAGCCCTTGCACAGCTGTCCTGATGTGGCACATACACCCCTTGCACAACTACCCGACCCTTGCACAGATGTCCATCCCTGCCACACTCAGACCTTGCACGACTCTCCTGCCCTGGCACATCCAGCCATTGCATACCCAGCACTGGCACGGCCACTCCATGCACATCTGGACCTTGCACACCTGCCCACTGCTGACATGGCCAGTCCTTGCACACCCAGCCCTTGCACACCCAACCCTGGTGTAACTGCATGACCCTTGCACAGCCACCCACCCCTGGCACACCCACCCAGCCATTGCACAACTGCCCTGCTCTGGCACGTCCAGCCCTTTTGTGACTGCCCAGCCCTTTCACAGCTGCCCAGATGCAGCACATCCACCCCTGGCACATCTGGCCCTTGCACAACTGCACATCCCTGGTACATCCAGCCGATCCCTGGCACATCCAGTTTTTGCACATCCAGCCCTTGCCTGCCTGGCCGTGTCACACTCATCCCTGCGACACCCGGTCCAGGGACACCCAGTCCAGGGACACCCATCCCCTGCACACCCATCCTCATCTACCCACCCCCCCGTCACCCAGATCGGGGACACCCATCCCCGGGTCACCCACCGCTGGGTCACCGAGGCTGGGGACACCCAACCCCGTGTCACTCAGCCCTGGGACACCCATGCTGGGGACACCCAGTCTCAGGATACCCACCCTCGGGTCACCCAGGCTGGGGACATCCATCCCCAGGTCACCCACCCGTGGGTCACCCACCCCTGGGTCACCCAGTCCGGGGACACCCACTCCCTTGTCACCCAGCCTGGGGACAGCCATCCCACATCCACCCCTGGCACATCTGGCCCTTGCACAACTGCACATCCCTGGCACATCCAGCCGATTCCTGGCACATCCAGTTTTTGCACATCCAGCCCTTGCCTGCCTGGCCGTGTCACACTCATCCCTGCGGCACCCGGTCCAGGGACACCCAGTCCAGGGACACCCATCCCCTGCACACCCATCCTCATCCACCCACCCCCCTGTCACCCAGATCGGGGACACCCACCCTCGTGTCACCCACCGCTGGGTCACCCATGCTGGGGACACCCATCCCTGGGTCACCCACCGCTGGGTCACCGAGGCTGGGGACACCCAACCCCGTGTCACTCAGCCCTGGGACACCCATGCTGGGGACACCCAGTCTCAGGATACCCACCCTCGGGTCACCCAGGCTGGGGACATCCATCCCCAGGTCACCCACCCGTGGGTCACCCACCCCTGGGTCACCCAGTCTGGGGACACCCACTCCCTTGTCACCCAGGCTGGGGACACCCATCCCCGGGTCACCCACCCCTGGGTCACCGAGGCTGGGTCACCCAGTCTGGGGTCACCCAGTCCAGGGACACCCTCCTCCGGGTCACCCATCCCCCGGGTCACCCATCCCCCGGGTCACCCATCCCCCGGGTCACCCAGTTTGGGGACAACCACCCCTGTGTTACCCAGTCCTGGGACGCCCATGCTGAAGACACACGGTCCTGGGACACCCACCCCCGTGTCACCTAGGCTGGGGTCACCCACCCCCGGGTCACCCATTCCGGGGTCATCCATCCTCGGGTCACCCAGGCTGGGGGAACTCTTGCACAGATGCCCAGCCCTGGCACATTCAGCCCTTGCACACCCAACCCTCGCATGCCCAGGGCTGGCACTGCCACACCTTGCACACCTGGGCCTTCCACAACTGCCCGATCCTTGCGCAGCCGCCCATCCCTGGCACGTCCAACCCTTGCACACCCAGTCTTTGCATGACTGCCCAGCCCTTGCACAGCTGTCCTGATGTGGCACATACACCCCTTGCACAACTACCCGACCCTTGCACAGATGTCCATCCCTGCCACACTCAGACCTTGCACGACTCTCCTGCCCTGGCACATCCAGCCATTGCATACCCAGCACTGGCACGGCCACTCCATGCACATCTGGACCTTGCACACCTGCCCACTGCTGACATGGCCAGTCCTTGCACACCCAGCCCTTGCACACCCAACCCTGGTGTAACTGCATGACCCTTGCACAGCCACCCACCCCTGGCACACCCACCCAGCCATTGCACAACTGCCCTGCTCTGGCACGTCCAGCCCTTTTGTGACTGCCCAGCCCTTTCACAGCTGCCCAGATGCAGCACATCCACCCCTGGCACATCTGGCCCTTGCACAACTGCACATCCCTGGTACATCCAGCCGATCCCTGGCACATCCAGTTTTTGCACATCCAGCCCTTGCCTGCCTGGCCGTGTCACACTCATCCCTGCGGCACCCGGTCCAGGGACACCCAGTCCAGGGACACCCATCCCCTGCACACCCATCCTCATCTACCCACCCCCCCGTCACCCAGATCGGGGACACCCATCCCCGGGTCACCCACCGCTGGGTCACCGAGGCTGGGGACACCCAACCCCGTGTCACTCAGCCCTGGGACACCCATGCTGGGGACACCCAGTCTCAGGATACCCAACCTCGGGTCACCCAGGCTGGGGACATCCATCCCCAGGTCACCCACCCGTGGGTCACCCACCCCTGGGTCACCCAGTCTGGGGACACCCACTCCCTTGTCACCCAGGCTGGGGACACCCATCCCCGGGTCACCCACCCCTGGGTCACCGAGGCTGGGTCACCCAGTCTGGGGTCACCCAGTCCAGGGACACCCTCCTCCGGGTCACCCATCCCCCGGGTCACCCATCCCCCGGGTCACCCAGTTTGGGGACAACCACCCCTGTGTTACCCAGTCCTGGGACGCCCATGCTGAAGACACCCGGTCCTGGGACACCCACCCCCGTGTCACCTAGGCTGGGGTCACCCACCCCCGGGTCACCCATTCCGGGGTCATCCATCCTCGGGTCACCCAGGCTGGGGACACCCATCCCCAGGTCACCCACCGCTGGGTCCCCCAGGACGGGGACACCAAAGTTGGGGACACCCCAGCTGGGGATACCCATCCCCTGCCCACCCAGCCCTGGGACGCCCATGCTGGGGACAACGAGTCCGAGGACACCCACCCTCGGGTCACCCAGGCTGGGGACACCCATCGCTGGGTCTCTCCTGGGACACCCACCCCCGTGTCACCTAGGCTGGGGTCACCCCCCCCCGGGTCACCCATTCCGGGGTCATCCATCCTCGGGTCACCCAGGCTGGGGACACCCATCCCCAGGTCACCCACCGTCAGGTCCCCCAGGACGGGGACACCAAAGTTGGGGACACCCCAGCTGGGGATACCCATCCCCTGCCCACCCAGCCCTGGGACGCCCATGCTGGGGACAACGAGTCCGAGGACACCCACCCTCGGGTCACCCAGGCTGGGGACACCCATCGCTGGGTCTCCCACCCCAATGTCACCCAGATCGGGGACACCCACTCCAGCCCTTTTGTGACTGCCCAGCCCTTTCACAGCTGCCCAGATGCAGCACATCCACCCCTGGCACATCTGGCCCTTGCACAACTGCACATCCCTGGTACATCCAGCCGATCCCTGGCACATCCAGTTTTTGCACATCCAGCCCTTGCCTGCCTGGCCGTGTCACACTCATCCCTGCGGCACCCGGTCCAGGGACACCCAGTCCAGGGACACCCATCCCCTGCACACCCATCCTCATCTACCCACCCCCCCGTCACCCAGATCGGGGACACCCATCCCCGGGTCACCCACCGCTGGGTCACCGAGGCTGGGGACACCCAACCCCGTGTCACTCAGCCCTGGGACACCCATGCTGGGGACACCCAGTCTCAGGATACCCAACCTCGGGTCACCCAGGCTGGGGACATCCATCCCCAGGTCACCCAGGCTGGGGACATCCATCCCCAGGTCACCCACCCGTGGGTCACCCACCCCTGGGTCACCCAGTCTGGGGACACCCACTCCCTTGTCACCCAGGCTGGGGACACCCATCCCCGGGTCACCCACCCCTGGGTCACCGAGGCTGGGTCACCCAGTCTGGGGTCACCCAGTCCAGGGACACCCTCCTCCGGGTCACCCATCCCCCGGGTCACCCAGTTTGGGGACAACCACCCCTGTGTTACCCAGTCCTGGGACGCCCATGCTGAAGACACCCGGTCCTGGGACACCCACCCCCGTGTCACCTAGGCTGGGGTCACCCACCCCCGGGTCACCCATTCCGGGGTCATCCATCCTCGGGTCACCCAGGCTGGGGACACCCATCCCCGGGTCACCCACCCCTAGGGCCCCCAGGACGGGGCCCCCAAAGTTAGTCTGGGGTCACCCAGTCCAGGGACACCCTCCTCCGGGTCACCCATCCCCCGGGTCACCCAGTTTGGGGACAACCACCCCTGTGTTACCCAGTCCTGGGACGCCCATGCTGAAGACACCCGGTCCTGGGACACCCACCCCCGTGTCACCTAGGCTGGGGTCACCCACCCCCGGGTCACCCATTCCGGGGTCATCCATCCTCGGGTCACCCAGGCTGGGGACACCCATCCCCAGGTCACCCACCGTCAGGTCCCCCAGGACGGGGACACCAAAGTTGGGGACACCCCAGCTGGGGATACCCATCCCCTGCCCACCCAGCCCTGGGACGCCCATGCTGGGGACAACGAGTCCGAGGACACCCACCCTCGGGTCACCCAGGCTGGGGACACCCATCTCTGGGTCTCCCACCCCAATGTCACCCAGATCGGGGACACCCACCCCTGGGTCACCCACCGCCGGGTCACCCATGCTGGGGACACCCAGTCCGGGGTCACCCACCCTCGGGTCACTCAGTCCGGGGTCACCCACCCCAGCTCCCCCCTTCCCTCCC